TTCGAAATAGCGCCAAGCGCAATTCCATATGGAATCGCACAATGGTCACTCTCTCGCTTTACCGCGTTCCCGGTTTTACAAAATGTTCATCGCGCATCGACGCGCGGTGACCAAGCCATCGCGTATCGTGTTATCAAGATTTCAACGATAATAACGATCGCATTCCATGCTCGCGTACTTGGTTACTCGATGACAAAATGGATATACATAGAGCCCAAAACGATAAAACCGCGCCGGAGTATATTAAATTTTCAGAGACGCGTCTCGACCCAGCGCTGCGCGGCCATTCTGATCACAAGGATCTCTCATAGCGAATATATCGGAAAAGCCCGAGGGAATTTATATGTATATGTTTTGATATATATATATATATATAATTTATATACACGTATATATATTTTATATACATATACACGTAGGATCTTTTGCTGGAATTTAATTACTTAAATAAAAAAAATGGTTTGTTAGAATATAATAAAAGTTTCACTAATTAAGTATTGGAAATTTATATACATAATAATTTATCAGCGATATTAAGTTTATATTGTAGCGCGGCAATCGTTTCTTCTCTTGTTGATAAATGCCGACTTTCTGTTAGCTTTTCAGCATCATATCTTTTGATCGTTACTTGTTTTGCTGTTCAAATCCCATCTATCGATAAGCAATCAATAATTCGAGCAGGAAAAGACGGAAAATATTTATCTCTAAGACGGTCGCACAATATACAAGTCGTGAGATTTCTCCGTCGTTATGTTTGAAAATACGATAAAATATGTAAAATATAATTTCCAGCTTCTATATATATATATATATCTATATTATTGTCAGCAACAAGATATTATCATTCATCTTCATTGGCAGCTTATCGCCGGAAAGAAAGAGCGAACGACATTATTGGTTATGACTTTGCACGTATACTGATAAATTTCATGAGAAAAGTTTTTCTTCTTTATTTTAATACGTGAACTATGCAATTTGTAAACTTCATAAAAACGGGAATAAGTGAACATTAACAGTTGCAAAAAAATTCAATATCTCTCCTAAGCGAGTTACCTTCCCTCGACCTGCATTTTTCTTCTCGTTCTATATAAAATAACGGAGAATGAACTTGAATGCGCACTGGCACCGCAAACACGATTCAGCGCTGAATGCGCTATTTCGGCGCATTCGCGTGTGACAACCTTATCTATCATAACGTTGCAGTTCACTAGACACACATACACACACACGCGCACACACACACACTCACTCATTCGTGGAATACCCGAAAACCGTCATGTTGGATTACCGCGCGATCGCAGTGGATATTTCCCTTGAATTAATCCCAGTTGTATTCGAATACGCCCGATATGCAACACATGCATAAGTAAACGCGTTTTGTCTGACAAACCACCTCGGGGGTTGCTTATCGGACTAACTCTCACCGCAGCATTAAACGAGATACGATAATGAATTGCGGCATTGGAATTATTTAAAACAAAAAACACTCTCGTCCATATGCACGTGTATGTGTGTGTGTATTTAATATCCGTTGCCGATAGAATTTAATAATTCACACACACACTTGATGCTTCGATATTATTTTTCGCGCTTTACCGAAATAGTCCGCTTCAAGGTAAATTATTCCAAGGATAAATTATTCCGTTATGTGCCGCGTGGCAAACAATCTTGTTCCATTCGTCTTTAATATGATTTGGCATCTCGCCAGTTTAACAGATACCAACTTTGGATTGTATGGGACTAATTAAAATTAAAGTTTAAAGAACGCGACGTTAGGAAAGACTTCGAAGATCCGGACCGGAAGTTTTCTTTTTTTTTTTTTTTTATTCTATTATTCTAAATTATGTACACTTTTTGTGTCTTAATCGTCAGCTATTACCGTAATGGGACAACGGCAATAGTGGAAAATTTATAATTACGTAACAGCTTCAGATTTTTTTAAAGAAATGATATCAACTTTAGTAAATTATTTAATGGTGTTTAATATATAACGTGTGTTTTTATGTATATGTAATATTTTATATTGCGTTTGATATTTTCAAAATGCGTATAAATTTTGCAAATTTAGTAAAAATTAAACTTTATATTGCTCCATATACACGGTAGCGTGAACCTTCTCGAAATAATGTTCGTGCCGTGCAACACGCCTTGCAATGTAGATATCGGTTCGCGGAAACTAGCATGCAGAGGCGAATTTATAGTCACCCTATATATATGTTTCGTCGCACACGTGCACGCGACGATGCGTTGTGAATTCAAAGCAGCGACAAATCGATCCGCGGCGAAAAGAAGTAGCGAGAGTCAGAGACCCTTGAAGGAAGATGGTAAAAAGGGGGAAGGGGGAGAGGAAGAGGAGAGACAGAAAGAGAGAAATGGCAAATCGTTCAAACGGGAGATCGACGATTTATCCGGATAAACAGGTCGTCCAAAAGCGATTACCGTGGCGGTAACGTCGGCCAATAGTCGGCGGGAACGTCGGTCGATCGTTCGTCCGCAAGTTGTATGGAGAGCGCCGTCATTATCGGCAATATCCGAGACAAGAGACGGGAGAGTTATTTTAAAATCGTTTTAAATCATATTCCCGAGTTGAAAACTTCTTACATAGCCGGTAAACTAAATTCAGTCGAGATGAGCTATTTTCTCGCATTTATTTTCTCTAACGCGGGGACTATCGATCATTGAGAGCGGGGATGTAATTGAGACACGCTATCGCTTTCGTTACTTTTAAGAAGGTGAATATTTTGTTGCGTCTGCGAATCCTCTCTCACGAGAAGATACATTTTGAAATTAAAGCAGGTTGCTAGGTCAGGATTAAAAAATGTATTTCGACGAGATTCGATTATTTAACGTAGAGTATTTTTCGATATATTTTTTTTGTCTCTTTTCTGTGTGTTTGTTCTTTCTCTGAAAAAACAAGATCTTCGGCTAATTTTCGTAAAGTAGAGAGTAGAGATAAGATAATACGATTAAAAGGACTCCAAGACGCAATAAACTAAAATAGAGATACAAAAGAATCGATCGAAAATAAATTTCTCATTGGCGAGTGACGCGTTTGTTGCTTACCTATGTACAAAAAGCTATCGAACTCGCGTGCGCGGACACGTGCGTCTGGCTGTTCTAACAGGTACGTGCATAACAGAGTCGGACAGAGTCGCGTTGCATAGCTCGCGCGTAAATGCGGAATCCAATGTGCGCGACTCCGTCTGTGTTACACGGCTCACACGTGTTATCCGGCTCGGTGTCGCGGACGACTGTGCAGATCGGGAGGAAAAGAGAGAGAACAGAGAAAGAGAGATTGCAGACATAACCTGTATGCAATATGCATAAAGCAGCCGGTGACGTATTTTTATGAGAGCGAACGAGAAGAACGATATTCTGGACGGACGGCGGCGCGCGATCGAACTTCGCGACCCCAAAAGCCGTTTTTACGATTTACGAGAATAAAGTCTGTTCCTGTAACGAGAAGCCCCGGTATTTTCACCGATCTGCGCGCAAGGACACTCTCGAGCTGGACAAATAACTGCCGCATTAATGTTTTATCCGCGTCAGGGGAGCTCGATAAGCTGCACAACGCGCATCTGAATTTTTCTTTACAGAGGCCGAAAACCGAACAGAAACCGCGTGTAAATTTGCGATCGAGAAGATTCAAACATTGTGGTCGAAACGTACGATACTTATTTAAATAAAAATATTGTATTACATACACCGACATTTTTTGTACATTGGCTCGCATCGGTCCTTCAACTTTCTGTGTTTGAATTTTCATGAGCTTTATGCTCATTTATTACATATATTTGTTTTATGATTATCGGTATCTCGGGATTTGATCGCGGAAAAGAAAATTTCCACCGGAACCGGCCGAGATACATTCCGGGGATCCGATAAGGATGAATGCGAATTTCGCGAACGGTAAAAGAGAAGAATCGTCTGATTGGACAAATGATTTTCTCAAAAGAAATTCCATTCGGTTCGCAGAAAAGAGAGCCCGTATGCGGGACCCGCGAAGGAAACGAAGTTGTCGACGAATCATTCCGGAAATTGCGATCTGCGCGATAAAGGCGCGAAATGCTCGAAGGAAAAAATTTCTTTTGTACTCCGGCCAAGCCTCGGACTTGGTGAACTTTGACATATTTCTTGCGCACCAGTATCTCAGCAATATACCGAATACGCGGCGATATGACAAAAACGCATTATGTAGATATACGTAATATGTAGATATACATAAGGACGATAGTCCGACGTATATACGAGTCGGCCGCAGCTGCTGTTGCTGATTAGCGAAAAACTATGTGACACGGAGACAACTTTGTGATGCAAGAAATGCGCTGTGAAACGTACGGAGGGTGAAAACTTCGAAGCACCGATGTGTGATTTTTGCACATCTTGTAATACGGAGCATCCTTCGCGATATGCGAGGTAGATAATTGGATCACTAAGTTAGAAAATAAGAAATTTAAAAAATGTAGGATATAAAAAATATATAGGGAGAGATATAAAATTATCTATATAAACTGGTAATTCATATGAAAAAAAGTTCGCATAAAGTTTGTAACAAAAAAGCGCGTAATTGTGTCCTTAATTTTAATTTTTTTTTTTTTTTTTTTTTTTTAGTTTTTCAAAGCGAATTGTCTCGAAAACAAAGTCTCTTATACGTGCATCACGTGTATCCTGGAATGTCCTTATACAATTTGCACTAACGAAATTTATATCCCGATCAGCTATAGCGGTTCGTTACAATTTCGCGACAAAAACAGGCGGAGAGAATGCGGAACACTACAGATCTCTCTCTTTTAGTAATCCCGATCGCTCGTTCTCGTCGATGTTGAACCTTCCTAATTGTCCTCCGAACTCTCTTCCCCGCCCTCCCACCCCTTCTCTTTACTCTCGTGACCTGCATGCACCCTCTCTCGTTCTCAACCTCGCTTCTGCACTACATAGCTCTCGCCTATCGATCTCGCCGATCGACCGATAATTACGTGGGAGGGTGTCTTCTTCCACAGGATTTAACGTACGCGGATGGCGGTCACAATTGGCGCAGCATAGTTTTCTCGCTGCTGGTCATCGGCTTCGTTATCGCCGGTATCGTCACAGCAATTTATCTTCTCGGGTGAGTTCGCGCGATGTTTTGCCTCCTCGACTTCGTTTCGCGCACAACACATCGTCTTTTCTTTATCATCTATTAGTGCTAATAGCGTTAGATTAGAACCTTTGTTTTGAGTCTTTGATATAATTCGAAATGCGTAGTAGTAATTACGCGTTGGGATGATAATTACAGGTACGTCGACGAGCTCCTGTATTGGAGCGGCAGGCGTCTCACGTTGGACGAGTGCCTTCACGATGACCTGACACCGCACAGGTTGTCACCGACCTGGATAACCCACGAGAAGTTCGTGTACCAAGCGGACGACGGTTCTCTCACCCTTCTGGACACTAGCAACAATGTTGTGGCTCTCTTGGTCTCTAATCACACGCTTGTACGTATATATAGATATATGTATACATACATATACACATGTACGCCATTGTATTATCTGCGCGCGCCCCGACCACGAGTAACGAACTCGCTCGGATATCCAGCGATCTGATTATCATATTCGAGAAATAGCACTTAAGAGATAACTCCGAATTAATAAGTGACGGGGTATTAATTACCAAGAGATTACGCTCTCTCTTTCTCGGATATCTGCGAGATAATCGCACAAATGGTACGTAATTTACGATCGTTAGGAATTCGTTTCTGCAACCCGCTCGCAGGTTTCTATCTATCTATCTATCTATCTATCTATCTCTCTCTCTCTCTCGGTAAAATACAAAAGCGTTTAACTTTGCGATCAGTTATGCAAACGCGTTCGTTTATTGAAACTTTGAAATCGTACAGTTTTACGTTCCGTACTTGTTTCCAATTAATCGTCGACGAATGTTAAGTATTACATTTAAAAACGCCGCGTTCAAATTCAAGCGAATTGTAATTTATTCGGAATCAATTTTATTTATGTTAATTAATTCGCCGTAACGTTCAACAAATTAATCCGAAAACTCGCGTTTGAATGACGGAAGCGCAAGAATAAAGTCGAGCGACACAAATTTTCGTGAATGGAAATATCGGAGAGTTAATGAGATGTCGAATTTTTGAAGAAGAAAAAAAAGAACAGAGAGACGCCGAGTTTCATTCGACGAAAATCATTTGTGATCCGATAATCCTCATCGGATCTGAATCACTCGGCCGAGAGATTGTTATTGCTATTAGATTTATGGGAACACACACGCACGCAAGCACACACATACACCATGGAGTTCTAAATCACCAACTATGATAGGAATATTCGCTTTAACGATGAATTGAGGTATCTTAGTTCCTTGAGTATCTAATCTGCCGATACCGAACTATTGTCGCGCTTATCCGCAATTAATTGGAGACACGAACCCCGTGTTTGCTAGATAATCACGTGCAAAGTACCCGAATCGCTGTGACATGCAAATGCCACAGGAGAAGAGAGCGTAAAACAACGTTAAAACTTTTGGAAAAACAAACCTCATTACGTAATTTGTTTCAAGTTTCTTTTGTTATGCAAATTATATTTTTATTGAAACAAAAGATTTATTATTACTCGCGTTTCATTTTCAGAGTGTTTTTCTTGTGGCAAAAAAGGTTGGTATTTTTTTCCATTTGGTTACTCGTGCAATTTTCAAGTTCTTACTGCGCACAGTAATTCATATGATATTAAATAATCAAGATATTCGTTATAATTAATGGTAAAATAAAAGAATTTGTTCGTTTTTTATTATAATAAGGTTTTTTACATTGCTAGATTGTGTTTTTATGCAGATTGCCATTCACGTTAAGGTTTTTATTCAAAACGATTTAATTGCGGAGGTCTTTTATTTTCTGAAAGGATTATAAGGATTTTTATTTATCATTATTATAAGCGTGTTATTGCGTTTTACGATAAGTTATACAGCTTGTTTAATATGTTACTTATATTTTGGAAAGGTTACATTTTGCTTTAAATTGCGTACACTTTAGAGAAGGTGATTGATGAATTGTTCAATATTCATTTGCAACGAATATTGAAAGGATAATCGTAAGAGCTTCTAATTTGGAAATATTTACATTTTTTATTCCCGCGTGACGTCGGAAACAAAAAGATAATAAAGAAGAGATAAAAATTAATAAATATTCATTGCCCTTTTGAAGAGAATAATTTTCGTCTGTGTAACGCCATAATTTAAGTTTCCCGTGAGAGATAAGTTGGATCAAAAGAATACAATAAGACATGCTTACGCGTGAAATATGCAGCTATTCCCGCAGAAAACTGCAAAAAGCACCATTTTCCAGCTTCCCTGTGGATATCTAATTGAAACAAATAGTCAAAGAATACAAACAACACGCGTTCCCACCAAGAGGCGTTTCTATATCCAGGAAGTTTATGTATATGGAATAGGAAATTCGAGTACACAATCCTCTCTATTGAAAATCGTCTTTTGTTCTACCGATCGTCGAACCGAAGTCGAGCACGCGCTCTTGCGGCGCGTTGTTAAAACGAAGACGAGACCGCATACAAAATGAAATCTGAAGCACTTGCACGAAGTTTACCTGAGGCTGCGAGGGCGAGTAGCATTGAGTAAATACGAGGTTATTCCAGATGCTGTAACGTTGCACTTCACGTTAGAGAGAATACCGTTTCTGCCTCCATCTATTTATCTATCTATTTCTCTCCCTCTTTCTTTTCCTCGAGGCACATTGATAACAAGAGATATCGACTTCGAGAATAGAATATGGATGAGTATAAACAGGAGGTGTATATACGTATATAAAATATTCTATATATATATTTTTAAAATTACTCATTATTTCGAGAGAGTAATTTCTTAAGCAACGATGTGAGAAAATTCACGATAATGTATAGAGAGGAAAAAAAAAAAGAAAAAAGTACAAAGGGAAGGAAAATGGTGCGTAAGGGTGAAAAACAAGTGATCGATCCCCTGGCAGGCGGCGAACACGAAAGAAGTGCGTGCGCGCAAAAGAAACTGGTTCACGCGAAACTGGACAAGTTCCAAATTCGCGTTCTGTTTCGTCCGCGAACCCGCCAAATGATGTATAGACGAGTGTATACAGCGCATTGATTCGATCGCGGCGTCCTCCACTAGGACACGCCGCGTTCGACCTATTCCGTCTGACTACTCTTTCGGTATCGACTACTAACCCGCAATATTCCACGTAACATCTGTACACGACGGTGTATCAATAACGTAATCACGACGGACCGATGCAACGCTATCAATTTTAAGTTAATGAAATCGGCGCGACGAAACAAAACAAAAAAAAAAAAAAAGAAAAAAACAAAATTACGAACAAACACGGACAAAACGGATTCTCTTTTCGCGAGAGAAATATATTCGCGACAAAGGAAAAAGTCTTTGTTGTACACGTACGAGAGACACGTTAAATTGCAATAATACTAAATGATATTAAAACTGAAGAGATATTAGCTTCTCCGCTTGGTACTTTTCACCAAGAAATAACGTAATTTGTGTTACACGTTACTTTACAGAGACAACTGAACGTTCAGGGCTACGAATGCAGCTCGGACTTACGTTATGTACTCTTCAGACACAATGTCAAGCCGGTAAGTAGCTTAAACGCGAAAGCCGCGAGAGAAAAGTTTTTCTTCGCGCGGCAGCTGCGTCCTAACTTTCTGATCTGTGGTTTATCGATAACGCGTGTTAGAACATGTAATACACGAGGTGGTGCAATTTAGTTGCACTTAGCGGTCTGTTGTCACTATCGAAAACTCGTTCGAGGCGCATCGCATGCTCGTCCGTTTTTATAACTTTTCTAATACAATTTATATAGACTCTCGTTCTCTCTGCAGGTCTTTCGAAATACTTTCACCGCTCATTACACCGTTTACGATGTCACAAACGAGTAAGTGTTTCATCGCTCTCTTCTAATTTTCTATAATTGTAATGTGTGCGTGCAAAAATAATTGTTTTTAAAAACTTCGTTCTCAATACGCGTTGGAAAAAAAAAAACGAACAAATTAAATGAGAATTTGATCTCTCCTTTCGCCAGTCATCACACACCTCTTCGCTTACAACCTTCGCGACGTATGCAACAGACGCGTTTGCAACACGCTATGTGGTTGGGCAACACATCCAGTCTCGTGATGGTCTCCGAGAATGACATTTATCTTAGAATGTTGCCCACCTCGACGGAAGACATTAGGCTGACTGACACCGGTGTGCCTGGAGTGATTTACAACGGCGTGCCGGATTGGTTGTATCAAGAGGAGGTGCTTCCGAGACCGCAGGCGACATGGCCCAGCCCGGACGGCTCGCATATCCTCTACGCCACGTTCAACGACACGAAAGTGACCGCGTTGCAGTTTCCCTGGTTCGGCACGCAGCTGGGCCAAGACGGCGTGAGTTCGAGTCCTCTGGGCGCGTCCAGAAGAAGCTCCTTCCCGCCATCCAGATCGATCAGGTATCCGACGCCGGGCTCGCCCAATCCAGAAGTCGAACTGTGGGTCATGGACGTCACGAATCCGAGCTCGACGAATTATAGCAACGCGGGGAACATCACGTTGCCGACGAAAATCAAGCTGAAGCCGCCGTCAGTGCTGGACGGACAGTATGTCGAATTATCGAAGAGTTTTACTGAAGTAATACCTGAACATGTGTGTGTTTCTCGATGATAATTTCAGAGAGTACTATCTGATATCCGCTGGCTGGGTCGGCGAAGACGCGTCGCAGATCGCGATAGTCTGGATGACGAGGATGCAGAACCTGTCGCTGGTGACGGCCTGTCGCGCACCCATGTGGGAATGCGAGGAGACCCACTCGGAGAGAGCGCCCGAGGGACTGTGGCTGGACGCCCAACCGCATCCTCTCTTCGCTCCGGACGGCGACAGTTTTCTACTGCTGGCCACGGTGCAGGAGGGCGATAAGGAACATTTCACGCACATAAAACACGTCACGCTCACACAGCAGAGAATAGCGGTGCTTTCTCATGGTCGTTACGAGGTAAGCGACCAGATACGGGAATTTGTGAGAACACAATTGTGGAAATAATTTGCTTTGCAGATAAATTTATAGAAATTTTTATCGCAAACATCTTCTACAAAACAATAACAGGTAAGCGAAATCTTGGCGTGGGACACCAAGGCGCATCTCGTGTACTATCTGGGCACCAGAGAGAAGAGACCAGGCCAGAGACATCTCTACGTGGTGCGCGATCCCGCCGCGGACGATCCTCGTCATTTTGAGCCGCTCTGTGTCACGTGTGATCTCGGAGAAGTTCTTTGGAGCAGTAGGCAAGTTCTGCTCTCTCTCTCTGCCCGATTAAACTGGATTCTGTTTGATCACTTCTCTCGGTCATGCAAAAGTGAACAATCGAATTGATTGCAGGTTCTATTATACGAATTGCACGCACTTTGGCGCGTCCGTCAGTCCGCCGATGAACGAGGACGAGCAGGGTTATTACGTGCTGTACTGCGAAGGTCCCGGTCTTCCACTTGCCGGCGTGCACATGATGACGTCGCACAAGATGGTTCGCGTGCTCTACGACACGAGGCTCCAGCGCGCGAACAAACTATCAGAGCTGGCACTGCCTCTCAGACGAAACTTTGAGGTGAATATCTCACTCTTGAATTCTCTCTCGATCCCGACTGATTCTGTATTGATAGTACAACCCTAAACGATCGGCAGGTGCCACTACCTCAAGGCTGGCGGGCGCAGGTGCAGCTGTTACTGCCCCCTTCGTGGCGCGAGGAGCTGAGAGACGCGGCGTTCCCGGTACTTGTCGAGGTGAACGGTCGTCCCGGCAGCGTGGCGATCACGGACAAGTTCCGGATAGACTGGGGAACGTACATGTCGAGTCACAACGACGTGGTCTACGTGAGACTTGACGTACGCGGCGCCCGAGGTCAGGGAAAGAGGGATCTGTTCAGGAGGATAGGCGGCGTCGAGGTGCAGGATCAGCTCACCGTGCTGAAGTATCTGCTGAAGACGCTCAAGTATCTGGACGTCACCAGAGTCGGCGTCTGGGGTTGGGGTTACGGCGGATACGTGACCGCAATGGTTCTCGGCAATCAGGAGAACGTTTTCAAATGCGGCGTCGCGGTGAATCCTATCGCCGATTGGATGTATTATAGTATGTAAAACTTGTATATAGCCAATGAAACGAGCGATATAAAAAGAAATCCGAGACGATAACAAAACGAGAAAATATTTTCTAATCAGCCATTTCGTTCCATTCAACGTGCATAACGTTGAGAGATTTTAGAAGATATTTTCACACTTTTTTTTTTCAACAACGACAGATTCCGCGTTTACGGAACGAGTCCTCGGCGCTCCGGCTGAGAACTACAAGGGTTACGTCGAGGCCGATCTCACTCAACGAGCGAAATTGGTACCCAGTCACAGCCTTTATCTTCTTCATGGTCTAGCTGACCTCACAGCGCCTTACACGCACGGCGTCGCCTTCGCCAAGGCTTTGTCCGAAGCGGGAGTCATCTTTAGATATCAGGTACGAGAATAGAAAGAAAATTAAATTCAACGTAAACTCTCTTTCGAGAATCTGATCGCTGAGCTAGATCTAAGATTTTGCTTTCTTTCTTGGAAACAGAGTTACGCGGACGAAGATCACGCCCTGACGGGTGTGCTCGAACACGCTTATCGTTCCATGGAGGACTTTCTTGCCGAGTGCCTCGCTCTGGATGCCTCCTAGTGCCTCAAGCCGAAGAATCCCTTAATGTCTCTAGTGCGCCTATTTCCGACACATCCAGAACGGACGTTAATACGGAGACTCGTCCTCGAGATCACGGCAGTTACACTCGTGAGCGGGAGATGATCTCCTGGGCAAAGCTCGTCTAAAGTCTGAATCCGCGGAGTAAGTCAAGGCTGCTGGTTTTTGAAAAAACGTGGCGGGGTGAGAAAAGTGGGAAACGCGAACCACGCGCAATTTGTCGTGAAATCGATATAATTCGAAAATAAGAATTCGTTTCAAAGGAAGAAAGAGAGGTAATCGAGACGCGCGTGTTTTCAAAAGCGCAGATCGAAGTATTAAAGTTTACGAAGCTTATGGATGACTCGCAAATTCGCGTCGTTCGACGTGACACCACTGAGATCGTTTTCAACAAAACAAAAAAATATTAAAAAAAAAAAATTGACGTTGAGTGTTTTGCAAAGCTCGCATTAAAAACAAAAACAAAAAAAAATAAATGATCGTGTTCCACGTTTAAAGGGCGCTCGCATAAAAAGGGCCTGAGAACTTCGTAAAGCGACTCCACGGGGGGGGGGAGGTGCGAGTTCACCGCGAATTGAATAACTCGTTCAACGTACAGAGCTTATTGGGAGTCTGCAAACTTGCACTCTTTTTTACGTCTCATTTTCCACATGGAAATTATCGAATTGAATGACACATTCGATTAACGTAATCGCGCGCAGATAAAACAAAAACAAAAAAAAAAAACAAAAAAAAACTGACTCCGTAAATCGCAATCGACACTTTTCAGGGGAGAGAGAAAGAATGTAAAAAAAAAAAAAATTAGATCTAAAAAGTCTCCGCATTTGTTCAAGGCAAAGTTTGCAAGCTTCCATCTCACGTTCTTTTTTTTTTCTTAGCCACGTCACTGGTGCCTCCTCGATTTTAAACGGGGGAAAAAAAAAAAAAAGTATCTACGCCTATGCGGTGACGTTCGTCCAAAGGCATCGACATACATAATACCATTATATATAGAATCGGACGGCTAACACTGTAAGTTTTGTGTTGTACAGCTTGGCGCCTAGTTCTATGTATCATAATGTTATAACGCGTAAGAAATTGTTCTCACTTCGGACCCTCGTGTAATTCCCAATCTCTCTCACCCGTTCCTCATCCATCTTCCCCCTATATCCCCTCTTTGAATTTTGAATATTTGTACATAATGTACGTATACACATGAATGTTCTTTCGCGCGAGGCTCTTTCGACGAGATAAAAATGGAGGATGAGAACAAAATATATCATAAATGTGTGTTTCAAATTCGAATTTGTCGACAAAACAAAAAAATAACATATTTATCACAGAAGAGTGATCTCAGATCTCGTCGAAGGTGCTGCCCCAAACCTCATTGTACATCCCTCTTACACACTGGTCGATCCCGAATGGATGAACGAATATGCTATAACCAGGCGATAAACTCACGATCGTCGCAACTAGCTGTCGATCATCGATCAGGCGCGATCGACATTGAGATTCTCGAGCACTTGTTCGCTTTCGTTAAGCACTTGTTACAAGTGGGACAGCCGAAGACGAGAGAAATATGACGATTATCTGCAACACACATGACTGACTTCGCTGTTTGTTTCGAAAGCAAGTGCTCGAGAATCTCATGGATTGGGCTCGTAATCGTCTCGAAAATATCTGCGACAAGTGTTGACATTTTTTTACACTATATTTTATACGTAATAACAAAAATCGGAAATGCGAAAGTTTCGAGAATATTATTACCTTGCAGAATTTGGCGTCAAAATTTTCTTAGAGAGAGAGAGAGAGTGTGTGTATGTGTGTGTGTGTGTGTGTGTGTAATGTTACAAACTTGAAACTTTTCTAGTAGATCCTTTTAGTGATATAAATAAAACATGAATTTTTCCGAATCTATATTGATTAATTTTGTGCTAAACATAATGTGAGAGATACTATCAAAAAAAATAAAATAAAATAAAAACCTGCAGATAATGTTCGAGACCACGTCAATCTAATTTCTAGTCGTTGTGTGAAATAAAAAAAAAAAAATGTTAATTTGTAAGTTCGTCAATGTTTAATTAGGAAACCGGCGTGCTCCGGACGAGGAAGTGTCGCACGTCGCCATGTGTATGCTGCATGACCAGCAGCCCTTAAATGCCGACAATCAAGGCTAGTGCAACCAATCAAACGATAATAAATAGAGAAACGGAGAGAAAAGAAAAACCTACTTAACCTATAAAATAATTTTAATGAATACTCGTTGAATGATCGTTGTGGGGATTCATGCGTGTTATATATAAACCCGTATCGCAAAGAGCCAGTATATTGTCCACCCTATTGCGGCCAAAGAGAGAGCCTCGCGAGAGCAATTCTCTCGCGTGAGTAGAGTGCGAAGGTCTGTTAAAAGTCGAGATGACGTGTTCGCTATCGGCTGTAGAAAGTACAAAAATGTGTAACGCGTAATGGAGGCTTCGAGAAAAATTTTTTCCTTCACTCGCATACATGTTTTAAATCTTCGTAAAAAATAAAAATTATCTTCTTTCGTCAGTTTTTGACAGTCAATATTAGAAAGAGAGAGAGAGAGAGAAAGAAATATTTAAAATAAATGTTTTAATTAACACAACGAAGTGTGCAATAAAAATTTTTCTCTTCTGTTTAACAAGGTTCCTCCGTTTCGCGATAACAGAATAGTCGTTCGTAGTGTAACAAAATGTTCGTTGTCAACAAAATACATTATATCGCTTTTATTTAATCCCAAATGAATAATGCGTAACGCGCGAGCGATCGAGACGCGAATTTGTTAGCGATCCGAGAAAAAGGAAAAAGGGAATGAATGAGCGACTGATTGAGATGACGACTTGGTGAGGGGTGAGAATTATAGGGAAAAGGACGGGACGAAGAGGAGACGAAAAAGAAACGGAAGTAGAGCGAATGGGGAGCGAGAGAGCGAAAGTGTGTGTGTGTGTGTGTGCAAAAAAAAATCACAATCAATTATTAAATATAAAACGGCAGAAAGTGTGCGGCAGATTATTAAAACGTAAGCATAGGGCATCGAAGAAAAAAAAACTTATCACAAAGGCAGGCACGCAACAAGCATGCGAATTATGATGAATTAATCGCAAAACAAACAAACTTCGGTAGCAGCGCATAAGGGTATCTTACAGCTTTTGGTAATTGTATTATCGCCGCTAGGCTAATTGAGAAAAAAAGGCAAAGAAAATTATACACACATTATAGGCATATGCAACAAATACATATACACAACGTACAGATTTACACGTATACACGCAACATATTAAGAGAAACAGATAATTCATATGGAACTCGATGAAGATCGGGCCCGTGCGAACGCGCACAAATAATAAAATTCACGTGAATTACAGTAGCGGTATCGGTCGCGCAGGTCAATCATCGATTGTCAAATAAATAAACGCGTTAACAACCGCGGAAAATTTTGATAAAAATCAAATTGCACGTACATCCGTATCGATCTTTCGCGAAAGAAATAGCCACTTGTTTAAAAACCAAAAAAAAAAAAAAAAAATTATCGTTCCTGATGTAAATATAGAAGAAACGTTTTATTTCAATTTTTCGAATAACTTTGGAAGTTTTCTTTGCATCGCGCGAATATCGAGAAAAGTGTATGCATAGAAAATTTCCATTCCAAAATCCGATTGTGTTTGACGATCGGTCTTGCTCGTGACAGACAACAAATTGACCTCTTGACGACGAGTGTGATGGTTTTTTTTTGTTTTTTTTTGTTTTCCAACGATCTGTAGCTTCGAACGAGTCCCTGTGTCCGTTCAGAATTTATATTCGACTGTCTCGAGAGAAAGATTGTTGTTGTTGTTGTTTATTTTAATGTCTATTTTATCGCGAAATGCTTGATATGCATTCCATGGGAGTCACAGATGTCGTTTTCGGACTGTCCGATCGATTCTCTCGCCTTTCATTCGTAGCGTGAAACGGGCACGAAAGTTATTTCTACTCGATTTTTCGCGATATTCGCACGGACCTGCACCGAAAAAATGTCCACGAAATCGGCCAATTAATTAATGTAAAAAAGAGAAATGATACTAATTCTATAAAGATTTAGAATTAAAGGGTTTTTTTACGTCTGTTAGAAAAAGTTAATTCACTTTTGCGTTATCGTTTAATAAATGACGGAGTTCATTCCAGTTATAGTATTTTTATAAACGTGAAAAAAATACGTATATTCTATTATTTTCATTCAATTTAGAAAATTTTTATACACCAGTTGTATTATATATATTTTTCTTTTCAATCTGAATTTCCGTTTTTCTTCGATTCGATAGTTTGATTGAAGAAATCGCGGAAAGCGATTGCAGTTAAATTCAGTTATGGATTGACCCCGATTTCGCGGATATCATTCAAGTTATCTTTCACATAACATCTACGAGATAATCATGTTATTAAGATTCTGCGTTTTTTAATATCAGCGAAGCTCGGCCCGGACATCGGGCGGATATAAAGTGTTTTCAATAAACTGTTACATTATCTGAAGTATACTTTAAATTTTTTCTCAGTATCTCGTATCCCCGGACTGACAGCTTTTGATAACGTTGCAAAGGAGGAAGATCAAGAAATAGAAATGTTACAAACTTAGAAAAATATGGGTCTTCGTCGGAGAATAAAAAGAAAAAACATTATTTCTTCACGAAATTCAAAAAAGAAAACCTCTCACAAACGTGAAATTATTAATTATACAGAGAAACGGTAAAAATGTTTTTATTAAAATGTTATATCATAAACAAAATAATAAACAGGTTAAAATTTGTTTGCACGCAATGAAATTTTATCAAAAAATATCTATTTGATAGTATTTGTTAATTCTCTGAAATCTATTTTTCACAAATTGTATGTTTAAGATTGCACGAGCACCCGTACGAGACGCGTTCAAAGAATCGAATAAAAACGAATCTTGTTTCACCGAGACAGTCACTCGGCAGCGTTATATATCTGGGCACATTTCGCAAAAGTCCGCAGCTTGTAATTCTAGAAGACAGCAATGAAAGCTTTCCGGACGTGATTGAAAACCGAATGCATAAAAGCGAGAATAATATGCCGCTTGAAGTAACGTACATTTGTAATTTTTAACACTGTTTTATTTTACACATATATTTTATACATATACATATATTATACATATATTTATATTTATATATTTTATACACTATACATATTTATTTATATATTTACATATTTTGAGTTATGAGAAAAACTTGATACAACGATTCTCTCTCAGAATTCCAATATTAAATAATTCCAATATTAAATAATTTCTTATCAAATATACGAAAGTCCTCAATCTTTTCAGAAAAAGAGAACGTATATATTTTAAATATAATCCCGGCTGTCTATCTTATAAGGTAAATACGTCTTCGTGAGAAAATTCTTTGAAAAGGAAGACACCGCCTCGATCTCCGCCTTGCCCTTCCGCAATATACTCATCTGCTTCGATATAGCGTCGTTTACGTAAGGTCGGGCTTCGATGGATTTCAATCTCGTGAGATCGGTCTCGGTAAGCGGGAGTGTCTTCGCTCCTAAGGCGATCAATTCCGAGGGATGAATTCCGAGCCAGCGCACGTTAGAACAAACCAAGCTCCCGTTGCCTTTACAAAAAGTAGATGAACCAAAGCTGCGGAAAATAATTATTATAATTAACTCAGGTAATGAAAGAATATATATATCCCATAAATAAGATCTTCTTAACACGACAAATTTATAAATAATAAATTAGCAGTTTTATTTGTTTACACATGTGTGTTGTCAAAAACAAAAATTATATAATAGCAATAAAATTTCAATTTACCGATACAATAGCATAATGTCCACGCCGTAAGGACCCGCGTCTACGATCGCGTAAACCGGAAGATCCATTTTTTCGGACAGCATCTTGACCAGCATCCTCGTGGCCGTATCCGGATAGCCCTTTCCCGTTACGAGGATGCAGTTGAGAACGCTCGGACACTTTTCCTCGAGCAACAGTTGGAAAACCGCGTCCTTCTCCACGATCAGGACAAAGTCGGCTTTCGCGCGTATGGAAGTTATGTTCAAAATCTGCGGAATCTGCGCGCCTCCCGGCACTGTGCAATCGATAATTTTACCGTCGACTAATATCATAGTCATGTTTCCCGCCACCAATCCTTTAGCGGTTGCCAGCAGTTCTGGAAAGAATTGATTATTGATTACTCTGTTTTTTGCGTGATTTGATGTTTCGATAATTAACTCACTCAAATCCCACGGCGCGCATTCCAACAACCTAGCTACGTCGATCAATGCGCGATCTACATATGCCTGATTAGGCACCAGATTTTCGGTCTCCTCGGTCTTCAAATTATAGTAAAACGCTCGTCGGGTTTTGGTTCTGTTTGTTAGCAACAATCTATGAGCTTCGGCCATTATCATCATCATCAGAATAAATTTTCTCCTGCTTCTTATCGCGAAATCAGTTGTTTTTTCCGATGTTTGATGATTGCTTTGATTTTCTTTCTCCTGACCTTCGACACAGTCAGGGAGCGAAGAATCGTAATACGACGTCGTATCTTGCTGAGAAAAGCAGGTATGAGGCAAAAAATCGTAGTAAGAAATCGTGTCTTGCTGAGTATCGCCCGAGCATTCGGGATTGTTTTCCTCACGCAAGCTGAATTTTGCAACATCGCTCCCGTTGAAATACGAAACATATGGCAATTGTCCACTAGCTATTTGTTTTATTATTTTCAGCGCGACAGCTTCTATGCGCTCGATTAAAGTTTTCCTAGTAAGCGCATCTCGTAATTAAATCAATAAATTCGATAGAATTTTATGACTTGCTAAATTTTTATTTTTGTAGATAACGAGAAATTAAGATTAAATAATCATTTAAAACTGTTTGAACATTATATTCTACCTGAGTTCTGAATCGTCGATTATCGGTATATCGACACGCTTTTCTGAACTTAGACATTTATCAGCCGTCGATGCGACTGTTGGTTGAAATGTTTTATTCGCTTTCGACATTTTTTGTTTAAATTAAAAGGTACATAAACAAATACACGTTACAGTAAAACTCGCACTGTTATTCTTTTGCATGTACTTTTATCAATGCTATGTATTAACGCTATATATTACCTTCTTCCGCCATATTCATTCGAGAGAAAGAAAGGTTAGACTTACTAGCTGATGGAAAGAGATGCCTTGAGATCTGCGCAAGCGCAGGCTCGCAAACTGTGATGGCGGAAAAAATCAACTAGAGCATTTTATTCTCGACGACAACAGGCTTTGGTGTGCGAGAAGTTTATTTCTGAATAATTGTATTGTTTAATCTCTTGATGAGACACATTTGTTCCCAGAAAAATAAACACCAATATTAATAAGAAGAAAATCATTTATTATATTCATATATATTATTTAATTAGAGACACGAATAATATATATACTTTTTTGAATAGAGAATGTGAAATTATAGTTCTCCTGTTATCCAGTAGATGACTTTAGTTTAGCGGAAAATATATCTTTGTATGCGCAGAGATCGAAGGCATGTCGATATCGATGATAAAATTTGACATACTAAGTCATTAAATGAATTTGACAAATATATATTTTTTTAATAAATAAATAAATACATACATATATACATATATCTGTTAAGTTTATCTAATGATTTTTATATATTAATTTAACACAAATTGTGTGTGTGAGAGTATTCACAAACGTTATCGTTAATTAATCAAAAAGACAGATAAGCGTTTCATAAACCGATAAAACACACATTCATTCATACACATAAATATTTATCAATTTTGTATATATGTTATATACAAAAAGCGCAAAATAACTTTTCACAAAGAGAAATTGTAGTTTCATTAATTCCGCTGATAAGAAATACATCAAATATTGAAATTGATTTTTATCTTTCTCATCACGATAACTTTTGCATCACAATAACTAACGCTCGCATGAAAAGCGCCTATCGTGTTTGGCTCCACACTTGTACATCGAACGATCTATGTATATGTGGTAGCCCCGTGGCGACTGAAACGAACAATCATTAAGAATCGGAAGACGAATGGGAGAGAACAGCGGAGAAATACGGATTTCTTCTTTCAGTTGTCGAAATGAATGTTAAGCGACGAGTTAAAAGGCGCGATGGCAGATAGAAATCTATTACCTATCCGAGGCCGACATTCTCACAGCAATAAACATATTAAGTCTCGAGCCGCGGGGCGAAGTATTGGCTTACGTGAACCTATCCCGAACCCGTGGCCCGAGTAGACATTAGTTTTTCTCTTCGATCACATTCATATCGAAGTGGCGAATCTGAAGAGAGCCAGGACACCCCGCTGCGCATTTGTAAGCACCGACCATTGAACGACGGCGCGCTACTGTACGCGCTAAAGACACTTCAGAGACTTATTGTGAGCACGGAACCCCTTACTGCAAAACGTTCGATTGTAACGAAATTCGGCGCGGATTTGTCGTCGTTCTGCTGCAATACCGCCCAGGCAAAAAAATCTAACCGCGACAAATTAGCCGCTCGCGAGTGAAAGACGAGATGCGTATTGAGGATAAAAAAAAAACAAGTCGTAGACAAATTTTATATCTATATACGAATAATATTGAATGTTATGTAATACACCCAGTATTGAACGTGTGCTAAAACATATTCAAAAAATTACGATAGATTTGTAGAAAGATTGTGCAAAGATCCTGTGTATTCGTTGCACTAACAAAATCGGAAATGACGGAGTGCGTCCTGAATAGCACCTCCTATTCGCACAAATTTTTCTGCGACGCGCTCCGGTATACAAACGTGTTTGCAAACGAACAATAAACACACTAACGAATGATTATTCACTCATAAGGGACGAGTGTGCGGAGGCGGACAGATAATAACGACGTAAATTAATTGCTTGAGAATCACTGCGGTAATCATTGCGAACAAGTATTGCGGACAATATATTGATAAAAACTTGCGCGAGAAGAGACGCAATCTGTCGTGCTGACGAAAATGAAACACCACCTTACAGTTCCGGAGCCTCTTAGATGCTCATAACGGGTTCATTCATGAAAAAATAATATACAGACGCGGCGAGCGCATGCTCGGTTTCGCATTAAAGACAAGGCTATTACAAAGGGGGATAGTGTTACATTGTGCAACGAGCACAACGGTGAAGAAACACCCTTAAGAATAGCCTCTCTCCAACCCTCAAATAGCCCGTATATGGCCAACACGCGCGTCCTCAAAATGTCAGTTGAAGACGCGCTGAAGAAGGTTTAACAACGAAGAATCGCGTCGTCTCTTCACGAAAATCTCGATGTACTTTGCTACATGACGATAATCCCTTCTGCATACGCGAGCACGAAGAAAAAACTGGGCGTTTGATCTTCGAAAAAAAAAAATGACGGATGCAAACGTGTTCTGTGTGTTACGGGAAATCTTCCCCCACGTCATACTCTGTCAAAAAATTCTTGACTTCCGGTTGATCAAAAACCACAAGAAATATGAGCGAAATCGCGCGCGATAATCTTCTCGGCTCGAAATAGCCCGTTTCCCGTGATTTGAATTCGAGCGAAACTAAATATACTCGCGACTAAATCGCCGAGGAAAACGTCAAACGTGAAAAAAAACCTGTCGCATGTCAACTAGCTTTCTCTGATCGGGGTCGGAGGGTTTTGTAATTCGATATTCGGCATTCAACTTGAATCGAGTAAGATCGCGTAAACGCCTATGCGCAGCGAATCGACAACGCTCTGTGGCCTATTCAGAAAATCGTAACAGTCGATCGTTTTCTCGATCAATAATAACTCTTGGAGAGAGAGAGAGAGATCGGATCTCTTTGTCGTTTTTCTTTATTCGCATTCTTGCGAACGTGTTCGAGGCCGATTTTCATAGATAGCATCGAATTTGTCCAAACAGCAGGGAACAGCGGAACCAGTGAGGTGTTCGATAGCAACGTACCGAGTTAGAATAAAATCAAAGGTTACGAGTCGGAGCGGTTTGTTGCTTTTTATAGTCGCGTGATGAAAACAATGCTATTTGTTTTTTTATCCGAATATTTCGATACGTTCCAGTTTGGAGTGACATCTCGATTCCGAAACCGGGAAAAATCTCCTAATTTCTCCCCAATAGAGGCGCGAAAACGACTGATCGTTCGAAGTGCACTTATCGAGAAGCTACTTGAACGCGACGCCGCGGTTTTCGAACGATCGAACAACGTTACTGTTACAGGGACCGCCGTGTTCACACACATTAAAGAGGGTTTGACGTGCGGCACTTGACTTAAGCGTGAGCTTGGGAAAGTCTCTTACTAAAACCGACTATCGTCACGTCATGTCGTTTAAACGATACGACCGATCGAGGGTCTGATATCGACTTGACGCGAAAATGTCTCTCTCTTTCACCCTAAAAATAAATACAATTTACAATCCTCGATTGTGGCTCGCATAATTTATATTTGTTCACATTAGTGCTACGCATCTTCGCGAATAACGTGACTTAAAATTGCGTTTTTTTTCCTGCTGCAGGAAACAAGTCAGATAAATTATCTTTCTTTCAAAAGAGAAGTTTCTTTTGACGATTTTAAGGCAATCGATCGCCGAAGAAAATAATTTCGGAGGCAACGCATACCAATTTGGCGCATCTTCGCTACGTAATCACTTAACGAGCACTTTCGTTTCTCTCAAAATCAGCATTTATTTAATAACAGGCCCGAACAGGCGTTCGGGACTTAAATAAGATCTTCGCGTCTACTCAATGCGACGCTTTATTACACGTTAAACACGTTTTTTGTTTTCTTTTTTTACGGTTGTATCAAAAAACAACCACGCGTCTCAAGAATACTGACGCTAACAAATAGAGAAGACGACGAGTTTTGAAGAAACGGATGAAAAAGATAGTTCTCCAAAGATGACAAAGTTAGAAAAACCAAAAATGATAACATCAGTAAGAAGAGAATTATATAATAAATACGTGAATTTTATTGAGCGAACACACAATTCTTATTTCTCTCGTACACATTTTGCTTCGGTCAACTTCCCATTTTCTTCCGTTTTCCGTGATCTCGAGGAACGGCACATCTTAATAACACTTAACTCTTTTACCGCATTCCCAGTAATCACAGCTAGTTTACGACCGGTTTCATAAATTATCGTTATATACGCGCGAATTTGTTGTTTTGCCGTAACGTGTTCGCACCCTCCAAAAGAATCTTACGTGCGCACGATAGTTACTTCAATTATATACGCAAATTTATCCGGGTGTTCGCGTTGAAATATTCTTGTTTGTTGCCTCTGGTCTTCTGTCGTTACAATTGAACGCGTCGGTTATTGCCTCAGAATTTGAGTTAAACATGAGAAAAATAATGACAAGTCGATTATCACCCGAGGCGATGTATTATTATCAAAAAACTTCCGAGAACGACGGCTTGTTCCGGCGGCTAAGTGAGAGAGAATCTGCGAGAGCAAAATCGGAAAAACAAGATCGACGAGATTGTCCGATCACGTAATGTAAGACTCGAGGAGTTCTTTCTAATGTTTTTTTTTTCTGTTCCATTGCGTAATAAAATAATTTTGTGAATGAACTCGATTCAATTTTTCTATTTCACTACGTCGCCGATCCCGAACATATTTACCGACAATCGACATGTTTTTAACGCCAAATCCCCACCCAATAGACGAGTCCAAACATTCTACACATACGTGTAAAATCGAACTTCCATGTGCAATGTAATAAAATAAGTCGCAATTATTAATTCAAAGTTTGTTATTGCGAGTTTTCGATCGATGCGAGTTGAACTTCGGAACGATTAATAATATCAATGAAATCAAGCAATATGATTGGACAAGCAACGTCATTAATTGCTCAGGGAGTTATTTAACTCGTTTAAAGCCGGATTAAAACGCTATAATAAATTTGCGATTTTAATTAATTTGTCTCGACGTGCGCGACGACGATGATGTCGCTTGCAAAATATGAAATGAAAACGCGCGCGCGAAACAGAAATATTACTGAATACATATTAAGCATTGAGATTCGAGATTATGAACATATAGATAGCAAAAGACGTGAAAAACGCGCGTACGACGTGCGCAAGCGAGTGTAAAATAAATGTTCGCGGCGTGTGCCGCGTGATGTGGCAGTTCGCAGCTGCCGCTGCGGCTTTTTTCCGCGATCGGATT